TTCAATTTTATTTGGTATGCATTTGTAGCAACAGCATGATAACATTTATTTGTTTTTATTTGCGTTTTATATTCATATTGATAATTCACGTTTTGTCTTGGATAATAAAGCACGGTTATGCATAATAAATTGTATGCATAATAAATATTCACTATCACTGTATGAGGTAAGAATCAACAGCTTTTTATCACATTTACACAACACTTTATGAATAAAAGTCATGAACAAATCTTAAATATGGCAGGGAATGTGTTTACTTTTTTAGTTTTGATTTTGAGCAGCAAATTTGGAGTTACATATTGGTGCTCACCAGGAATGCAGAGGCAAAATTGCACAAATTTTCACTTGAAAGAATAGTGGCGATCTTGGGATTTTTTTCTGTTCAGTTTTCAAACTGTGTAAATTTAATACACTTCATCTTCAGCATGTTTAGTGCCACTTTTGTAAGTAACCACGCCCCCGTCCAGGCCACGCCCCCGTCCAGGCCACGCCTCTTCCGCTTTTTTCATCACTCGCCATTGCCATGTATGTATATACTGTATAGGAAATACCCCGAAAAGAAGTCTAGTGAATGATTCGTAAACTCATTAGTTGATTACGGATTACCACAATTTCTCATATTAGGGATGGTTATTGAATTGAATTGAATACAACTTTGTTGTCAAATGTGCTGTACGTCTGTGTAACATGTTACAATCTTATTGTGTTCCAGTTGAATTACGTGGAGGGAAAAATGCTGCATACCAACATTTTTATTAAGATGTTGTCCTTCTCAAGCCCGGTAGAGACACAAAGTAACCATTTTATGTTTTTAGATTAATTGCATAAATATCCAGTGCTGTTCAAAAATCAGATGGACAATGTTAGCGCAAAATTTAACAACTGAGTATGAAACATGCCGATGAGAGAAGTAAGCTACATGACAAAAATCTCTATTTGCTTCAGGACAGTTGAAACCACAAGAGGAAAAAAAATGAAGAAACTAGGTAGCGAGCGCTTGTACGTGAATGGTCAAGTAGTCGAACATTGGCGAATCAAGAACTTTGGTGACATGTCATAAAACCATCGACAAATGCTTCCGATGGTTTTGCAAACACTTGTCATTGTCCACGAAACAATGCATTGCGACAAAAAAAAAAAAAACTGCAATCTTTTACGAAGCTTGACGAAACCCCAAATTCACAATGTTCTCGCTCAGTCAGACATGGGCTTAATCAAGGGCTTTAAATATGATTTGGTCTGATGGGTGGGATAAATTTTATCATAACAATTCAACGTTGCGCGTAGAAAAATTGCCAAGACTGCTACTTATCCAACATCTTTATTTATGAAGTACCTTTTTTTGAAAAGAAATGTACAAGTGGAACCGGTACGCTCAGTCAGACATGGGCTTAATCAAGGGCTTTAAATATGATTTGGTCTGATGGGTGGGATAAATTTTATCATAACAATTCAACGTTGCGCGTAGAAAAATTGCCAAGACTGCTACTTATCCAACATCTTTATTGATGAAGTACCTTTTTGTGAAAAGAAATGTACAAGTGGAACCGGTACAGTGACATCTTGCTGTGGCGCGCTTATGAAATGTTAATGTACATATTTACATCAAACGGGCTATGATCGCGAAAAGTGAGTTTACCACATCTGAAGTGGAGAAAAAAAAGTGAAAACAAAGAAATCACAATTTTCTTCTTCCCTATAAACAAAAAAGATACAATAAAAAGGCACTGTATTTTTCACAAACAAGAACGAGATGTTAGCTAGCATGAGAAAAGAAAATCCACTGGAAACGTTGTTACAAAGTACAGAACATGCTTGTTGATTATTGAAATTATTTTTTTAATAAACAAATCATGTTTAAAAATTCAGAAAGGCATAAGTTTAAGTCAGATTGGAATCTCGACGTTTTCCCCCACCGACTTCTTCAGAGGTCCACACATTCAGATACAATTTTTTTCCATGTTAAACCTTGGCACGCATACGTGTGCACACCTGCATACATTTGATGTCCCAAAAAAAAAAAAAAAAAAAAAAAGACACAATCACAC